TGGCGGCAATGTTGTAAATAAAGACGGGGACAGACTCCCACAGCATGTGACAACGAACGCATCACTCCACTTACGAGGGCTGCGCACGCCACAGAACGTGCGAAAATGATACCAACCAGAGCAGGAGTTGCATCTGACTGATGTTGAGGTCCGACGCACTATGGTCTGCGCACGGAACAGACTGGGCAAGAAACTAAGAGCTTTTGGGGAGCCATAGCACGGGAGGAAGAGGAGCAGCTGGTTGTGAGTAGGGATGGGAGTGGGGGCTGGTGGGAGTTTAGCTGCGGAGAGCTCTGTGAGACCGTAGAGGTCTGTGGTTGATAACCCAGAGTTGATAATTTTGCTGAAGGCACCACGTAGTTTGTTCCACTCCCTATGGGTCTTCAGGCCTCAGCTATGCAAAATGCCACCTATGTACTGGTTTCAAATAAATTGAACCACACATTTTTTTGAGGAAGTCTGTCCGTGGTACTTTTTCCGGAGAGAAGTGTAGTATTTATGTTAATCTAAGCCAAAAGCCACTTTCAAGTAAATCGAAAAATAACTAAGGTTTTTTAATAGCTCAGACTCTGGTCCATTTCCTTAAGAAAAGTAATCTAAGCAAAGAGCCAACCTTGTACAGAAATTTTAGTAAATCAAACTACAAATGAGATTTTTTCGATTAGATCACTCCCCGGTCCACTTTGGGTCCATTTAAGAACACTATGCAAGCCGGTGTTGGTGTTGGTCCGGCCCAAGGTAATTTCAAAAAATCAAATAACAAATGAACGATGTAAAGTAACAGACTGATTACATGTTAGGCATTAGCTACTCGTCTGATTTTTTGTAAATCACCCATCAAACGAAAATTTGATTGTGTTTACGTTATACGTTCCTTCCGATGCAATATATGAACTTTCTCTTGCCGTGTGGTAGCACGTTATTAGGTATTTTTATAAGCCATATTTAAGTGTTTCGTGTGATTATTATAACTTTTATTCGGGATTTTCAGATGGTCAAAGTATGAACTTTAGCAAAAAATTACTCCAAAACTACAAACCACCTCAAAGAATAACATATTTTTTGTTAGGTGTATGAAGGTCTTTATACAATTGGGGACCTACAGTTTATACTAAGCCGCCTAAATTAATTTTTTATTTATATTAATTTTTTATAACCTTTGAATGTTGGTCGCACGGGGATTTGAGCCCGAGCCTTCCGAAAGACAGTACGCATTACCACCTCGCGAAGTTTCCCCCGCATTTGTTATGTGTAAAATATAAATGTTTTGATCAAACTAATTAAATAAAATCATTTTATGGGCATTTTTATAAGCGATATTTAAGTGTTTCGTATGATTATATAATTTTTTATTTGGGAGTTTCTGTTGGTCAACATTTTATTTTTAACAACAAATTACTTGATAGCTATAATTTAAAAAACAATTATGTCAGAACTTGAAAATGTACACTTAACCCAGCGATCATTTGCCGTGCTTAAAAAAATATCCATGAAGTGTGTTTGAAACTGAAATTTAGACTTTAAAATTTGAAAAAAGGGTATAATAATAATAATCGCATAAACACATATAAAAAGTTAAAAAAAAAATTGCATGGGATTGTAAAAATACGGAATAAGTGCAGCATACATATATGTCTTTATACTTTTAGAGGAAAATTTTAGAAAAGATTCACTAATAAAAAAAAAACTTTCTACGAAATCGAGCGTTAGCCACACAAGACAACAGCGAAAACGAATCTTCCTTTGAGAGTATCATAATGGAGGAGCCGGGCAACTTAAGTACAACGGGAGAAGCACAAACAAGCGCAACTATTTCAACATTAAACGCCTTGAGAGCATCGGTGGAAGAATTAAGAAGCAGCACCGTCGAAGCCAGCGAGACATAACCAGGCTACGAGAGCACATTCACAGGCCTACTGTGTCGAGGTAACAAAATTTACCTAGGTATTAAAATTTACCATTCAGTAAATTTTGTTACCATTTCGTATTCTGAGCTCACTGTTACCCTGTAAATTTTGTTACCAGCGAAATAGGAGGTAACAAAAATATCTGCTGTTTGTTTTTGTGTGGTTGGTTTGAGAAAAAATAAAAAACCAAAATGGGTAGGCACATTTTAGACCTGGAATTCATTGAAGATGAAGAAAAAAGTGCAAAAAGGAGTATTTTAAGAAGTTTTCAGGACTAAAAAATAATTTTAATTAATTTGTATGATAACGTTGTCATTTAGCTTTTTTTGTTGTCTAGGTATATTTTCCATAATTGGGTTCAAATATTTATGATTTAATAAACAAATTAATAAAACTTTTCTATTTTTTTGTGCACCGTAATTTGACATGGACGAAAAATGCAGTGCTGCCAAATTTTTTTCAAACATTGTAACCAGTTCGGCAGAATACCAAATTCAATTTCGAGTGTTAAAGTAAAGTAACAAAATTTACTTTACCGGTAACAGTGAGAATAGGCCTGTCAACCACAAGTTGCAGAAGTGCCTTTTAGGTCCCGCAAAGAAGCAGTACCAGTAATGTTGCCGTATCCAAATGATGTGCCCAACGTTTTAAATGAATTGGAATTTAGATTTGGACGACCGGACATCCTAGTCAAACACCAGTTACACAAACGGCAACAATTTCCGCCGATTTCTGAGTAGAAGCCTGAACAAATTGTACAATTTTCGTCAAGAGCGCGCAACGTAATAGCTTACTTTAAATCCGCAAAGTGTCACCAGCATCTGGCTAACACTTCGTTGCTTGAACAAATGGTATGTAAATTACCGCAAAATAAATAGTTCGACTGAGCGAAACATTCAGTGAGAATACGGCCATATGCCACAATAGAAGACTTCAGTACATGGTTGAGTGAGTTGGCCAGAGTTGTGTGCCTGATGCCAACTAGTACATATAGGGGCAAAAGCACATAATTGCTAAGTGCCCTACGTTTAAAGCAGGAGATGTATTGTATACAATCTAGGTGGGAGTTTGTAAAGAGCCAACAAATGTATATACGAAATCCTAGCTATGTTTGACGAGGGTTCAGCCATCACTATTTTGGAAGAAGACATCGCTAAAAAGATTGGTGTTCGAGGTCAAAGTCAACCTCTCGTTCTCCAATGGTATGACGATAAGGTGGTAACTTAACAATCGTCCAAGGTCAAAATAGAAATAGGAAGTTGCTGTGATAATCAAAAGTTTACATTGAGAGACGTACGAACAGTTAGAAATCTTAACCTGCCAGAACAATCATTTGCGAAAGAAAATTTCGAACATCTCGACTATGTGCCGTTGCAAAAATACAACAACATGAAGCCATCGTTACTAATTGGTCTTAATCAAGCATACTTGGGTGCCACTACAACAATTATTCAAACAGATAAGGAGAGTTCGATAGCCGCCAAAACTTCACTGGGTTGGGTTGCCTATGGCCCAACTAAATTGCCTTCAACATCTAGTCCGCTCGTTATGGTCATCAAAAAATATCAGGAACTGCATAAAACTGTAGCCGACTATTTTGCATCAGAAAACTTCGGTATCAATCCGTCATCATTGAAACTGGAATCTGATGAAGATAAGCACGCACGTCTTACATTAAAAGAAACAACAATTCATCAAGCAAACAAACATTATGAAGTTGGCCTTCTTTAGAAATCATTTCCGCCGCTACTGCCCTGTAGCAGGGATATGGCCGAACGTCGGTTATTGTCAATTGAGAAGCGTATGCAAAAAACGACAAATTCGCTGCCAGATACAAAGAAGAAATGTCCAAAAATTTGACAAAAGATACTCCCGAAAACTGACTGAAAATGAAGTTATTTCACCGCATCTACAAACGTGGTACTTGCCGATTTTTGCTGTATGCAACCCAAATAAACCAAGCAAACTGCAGCTACTAACAACAATGTGTCCTTGAATTCGACACTACTAAAGGGTCCTGAAAAAGCCCAGCCACTTATACGCATTTTGCTACAATTTCGACAAGGTCAAATTGGAATTGCAGCAGACATTCGTGTGAAATTCGTCCGAAATGCGCCACGAAGAAAGCAGCGACTATAGTGATTTATCACAGATCACTTAGCGCCTTGTTGGAACTTAATTTAGTTCAAAAGTCACGAGAGCATATCGAGAAAAAAATTAATGTTGCACGATATCCAAAGTCAAAGGTGGATGCTTTGGTGGAAAGAATTTCAGAACATTAAGTTCTTCAAGTTACCACGATGTTATTCACCACTCATTGCCAACAAAAGCAGAATCGAGGTACACATCTTCGTCGATGCAAGTCAAGTTGCATTTGCTGCGGTTGGATACATGCGATTAGTTTACTAAGACGACGTTGACGTTAGTTTCTTCATGGGTAAAACAAGGACTGCTCCGGGTAAACTAATGTCCATTCCAAGGCTTGAGCTTTAAGCCGCTGTACTTGGGACTAGGCTATGCAAAATGATAATCGACGCCCTGGAGTTAAAAATCGAATATTTAGTGTTTTGGACCGACTCCCAGACTGTATTGTAATGTTATACTCATCCGAACGGAAATTTTAAGGCATTTGTCAGCCGACGTATTGCCGAAATACAAAGTACAACTTCGCAAGAACAGTGGCGATGGGTATTAACACATCAAAATTCTGCAGATGTCGCCACGCGTCGACTTTCTAATAAAAAAGAGGAACAGTATTGGCCAGTCATGGCAATAAAGCGACCAGCGATGTTACCAGAGGAAATGCAACCAGCCCACCTGTTATGTACGCGAACAAAAGACACAGTCATTGATTTCAGCAGATTTAGTACATATACCAAATTACAACGCATAGTAGCCTGGGTCGTCAGAGCAATGCATCTATTCCGATTACATCATAATATCAACGGCGTGCTCCCTCCTCAACAGCTGTCAGTTTTAGAATACGAAAAAGCGGAACACATCATAAGCGAATTGGTGCAACAAGAACATTTTGCAGATGAAATCGCCGACTTATCTGCGTCACGTCAACTTGCGAAACGAAGTACTCTGTAAAAGATATCGCCATATTTGGACGAAAACGGTATATTGCGTTTGTGCGTTAGAGCTGTACACATCGAACTTGCAGAGAATCTATCAACCGATGCATTCATCTTATGTTTACGTAATTTTCTAAATCGTCGTGGAACTCCAGTGAGAATTAGGAGTGACAACGGAACTAATTTTATTGGTACACAAAGGGAGCTTGCCTCAGCCGAACATCTATTGGACACAGGACGTATCCGTGAAGAAGCCACAAAACATCATATCGAGTGGATATTCAATTGTCCTGCCAATCCAAGTAGCCTTGGCTGTTGGGAGCGCTTAATTTAAATTGTTAAATCCCTACTCAACAGAACGTTACAGAGAGAACATACGTTTCAAAGTGTACTGATAGAAGCAGAAAATATTATTAACTCGCGTCCTTTAACCGACATACCTATGTCGCACGAAGAAGAAGAGCCAAACACGCCTAACCACTTTATTTTGAGCTGTGTCAATTCAACACAAACGCCTCATCCTGCAGACGAGAAAATATGCCTCAAGAAACAATAGAAGATTGCGCAGAACCTGAAAGATCGATTATGGAAACGTTGGACCATAGAGTATGTACCAAAATTATTTCGCCGAGCAAAGTGGCAAGAAGCAGTGCCTCCCCTACAAGTCGGAGATCTCGTCATTATATGCGAGATGGCATTNTACGAAAAAGCGGAACACATCATAAGCGAATTGGTGCAACAAGAACATTTTGCAGATGAAATCGCCGACTTATCTGCGTCACGTCAACTTGCGAAACGAAGTACTCTGTAAAAGATATCGCCATATTTGGACGAAAACGGTATATTGCGTTTGTGCGGATGCCTTGATGCAGCAGCATTTTACCATTGCAAGCTCGTCAACCAATTTTATTGCCGCAGAATCATATTGTATCAACATTAATAATTCGACAATACCATGAGGAAAGCCATTATCAGAAGAACGCGCTAACTATGAACAACATAAGACAAAAATTCTGGATTCCCAACCTGAAGACGCTTATCAAAAGCATCCAACAAAAGTGCCCTGTATGTCGCTTCAATAAATCAAAACCCGTGCCTCCTATGATGGGTCAGCTACCTATTGACCGAGTTACACCATTTGTACGCCCGTTTACTTATCCATTGTACTAATGCTTTGTTATTATTATTAAACCTATTATACTAGTGTCGATCTATTTGGACCATATGATGTCTCGATTGGAAGGCGCATGGAGAAAAGATGGGGAGTTCTCTATACGTCTTTGACCGTTAGAGTTGTACACATCGAACTTGCAGAGAATCTATCAACCGATGCATTCATCTTATGTTTACGTAATTTTCTAAATCGTCGTGGAACTCCAGTGAGAATTAGGAGTGACAACGGAACTAATTTTATTGGTACACAAAGGGAGCTTGCCTCAGCCGAACATCTATTGGACATAGCTCGTATCCGTGAAGAAGCCACAAAACATCATATCGAGTGGATATTCAATTGTCCTGCCAATCCAAGTAGCCTTGGTTGTTGGGAGCGCTTAATTTAAATTGTTAAATCCCTACTCAACAGAACGTTACAGAGAGAACATACGTTTCAAAGTGTACTGATAGAAGCAGAAAATATTATTAACTCGCGTCTTTTAACCGAATAGAAAATATGCCTCAAGAAACAATAGAAGATTGCGCAGAACCTGAAAGATCGATTATGGAAACGTTGGACCATAGAGTATGTACCAAAATTATTTCGCCGAGCAAAGTGGCAAGAAGCAGTGCCTCCTCTACAAGTCGGAGATCTCGTCAATATATGCGAGCCGGCATTAGCTCGCAGACTATGGCAACGTGGTCGCATCACACAAGTATTTTCAACTAAAGATGGCCAGGTGCGAGTAGCAGAAGTGAAGACAACTAGCGGACTTCTTCGTAGACCAGCATCTCGCCTTGCCAGGCTTCTAGATGATGGTGAATCCCGGAGTGATTCACTGGGGGTGGAGTGTTAGGTCACCCTGTGACATTTCAATATGCTAATCTTATTTCTCTTATGTTATCATTTTCTGTTTGTTATATTCTAAATATATATGTACATATTTATATGGTTAACAGGACCGTTACATAGCTTGCGGTAACCGAATTTAGTATAAACAGAGAAGTTCTTCAAAAAACGGGATACAGTTTTCAGTCGTGCCAAGCAACACAATTATAAAATACTTAATCCTGCCTATACATTTTTCAGTCAATTAACGCCTGAAAGTGTAGAGGATTCCAACACAACTCACAAACCAAGCTGTTAAGAAAATAGCGGCTAAATTAACACACTTAACAGTTGTTGGTTAATAATGAATTAAATAATACAACAATAGATTATTTGGCTGATGTTGGCGCAGTGGTAGAACACTCGCCTGTTAAGTCAGGATCCGTTGAATCGATGCCCGCCATAAGAAGTCTGATGAGGGGATGTGGTGATCTACGAAATAGCTGTCACTTCTACCATTTTTTTTTGTTGTATAACAAATATTCAATTCATTAAAACAACCAGGCCTCGTAGTTTACTTAATACTTATATCAAAAAATTATAAAACATAAAGTTATTATTAAGTTATCATAACGTTAATTAATATTATCATTATAACATCACTACCAAACGTAAACATTAAAGACACAGTACATTTAAAATATAACATATCTCTTATTTCATCACCATTTGTGTGTACAAACAGTTTTTATAATTTGATTTCAACAAAAACAATGAATTTTTTTTTATTGACATAGTGGTACTGGTGCATTTTGTTGAAGTTTCCCCGATCTGACACTGCTGCCAAAATTAGAATGTGAAATGGGGGACGCTGTTAGCTGCAATTTGCGTGATTTTGAGTTAGTTTCGTATCTAGTCATATTTGGCTAGGTGGAAATAGGCTATTATACTCAGAATATGGTGCCGGTCCTGGTTAGAGGTAATGCTCTTTGTATTTCTGGTAGTTTGTCTTAATAAGACAAAATTTAAAGAAAAAACGGTTTGTATTCTGCACTTGTTTCAAAATAGGTGTAATATTTAAATATTTATGTCTGCGTAATAAACAACAATCAAAAATTTATTTTTTTGCTTATTAACCCTCATAACTTATTACAATTAGTCCATGCTTTAAGTAACAATATGTAATGAAATTGGGTTAAACCAACCCTTTGATATTCTTGGTCGGAGCCTAAGATTATAGAATGATTTCAATAAGCATACATTAGATTCCCGAAACAACTTGCGACGACCTATTTTTATGTCTACACAAATTACGTCTGTTATCTCTGCTGGCTGCGTTCGTTCAAACAAAAATGCAATAAAACTTGCAATGAGAGAAAATAATATTCACGGTTGAGCTTTACAGCCCCACTTGATATTGTAAGCAAACAACTAGGAATTTCGACATGAAACTTCGTAGGAATGATAAGAGAAAAAAAATTTTCCAAATGTTATAACTTTTGGAACTTAAATATATTATAGGTTATAAGTTATTTGTTTTTATAAATTTTTAGCTTTATCCCATCATTTTGTCGGCAAAATTGTCCAAATCGACGAATCAAAATGTGGAAAAAGAAAATTTAATGAAGATAAATTAAAATTTTTATATGTTTTTAGAATTACATATCTATTATGCATTTATTACACTATTAGGAGGAGGATTGTCGGTCATTGGGTCCTTGGCATGTTGGAAGTTGGCTGCGTGGATGTACGTCTCGAAGTTTGCCCTGATAACGCTCGGTCCGCAGATCATACCTCTAGTCCGCAAGCATGTCGTAGAGGGAACAGCAATTCATACAGATTGTTGGAAAGCCTACAACTGCTTGATGGATCATGGGTTTGAACACCGGAAAGTCGACCACAGCGATCCGGAGAATCCATTTGTAGCCCGAGATGGGACTCACACTCAGATGATTGAGTCTCAAATTACAAAGGAGTTTCACTTAAGAATACTGTGCAAGGCGAAGCTTGTGTTAGAAACAAGTTGACGTGAATGAATAGTTTATTTATTATAAAAATATGTGAAGGTCATGCGCTTTCGTTTTTGTATCTGTATGTAAATAATATGAATTTTCGTTTTTGTCCATATATGTAAACAATATGGGGAAACTTTTCCATTATGGTTCCAGGCTTTGGGAAAAACGAATTATAGGGGGTGGTAGGGGGTTCTACCCTCTCTCAGAAACCGAAAACCAAACTTACCGGAGACCTTAAGTTTTCGAGATATTTACATTTAAAATAGCAAAAAAAATCGAATTTTTGCCCTATAATTTCTACAAAGTGTCATTACTGGGAATTTTGGTGTTGCCACATATAAAACAGAAATTCTAAAATAAAACAACTGGACTAAAATTTCTATACTTTTTATGTATATTTGACCGCTTCTATAATTTTTAAGAACGGGTCTTTTCTGTTTATTTTTATGCAAAACTCCTTTGTAAGATAGCGGCCTTTGGCCTCGCTTTTGATTGTAACCCTTAGCCGGAGCAACACAGGCTTCGGCTTGCACAGTACTTTTAGGCGAAACTCTTTTGTAAAATAGCGGCCTTCGGCCGCGCTTTTGATTGTAACCCTTAGCCGGACCAACACCGGCTTCGTCTTGCATAATATTTTATGTCATTGCTTTCATGAAGTATAAAAAATGTTTTTAAATTATAATTGCGAAAATACAACCCTGTACAGTATTGTATTTTCATTTTTATTCCGTACGGCAACATCCACTTATTGTTATTGTCGGACATTCATATTGAAAAACAATATCGAAATAATATACAAAAATAAAATAATATTTTACTGCTAACCAAGTGAAATAAATATACAACAATTTTTAGTAATCGCATGTGAACAGATTAAAGTTAGTATTTTGCATCATGTATGTTAAGTAAGTGCACGTGCTAAGTAAATATTTGTGATGAAAGTGTAAATTTATTAACAACAAATTATGTATAATTTATAAACATATATGTGTTAATTTTAATAAATAAACATAGATTAGATCAACAGCAACAACTCCTGAAAATTTAAATAGGATTGGTTGTTGTTGTTGTTGTAACCGCAAAATTATTCCCCAAAGTACTCCTTGGCCGGATAAAAATCCGGGTCGTTCCGGTATAAAGACCCGACTGTCGCGAGAACTATTGGATTTTAGTCGCCTCTTACGACAGGCATGCCTTACCGGGGGTAAATTCTTGAGCCCCTAACCCGCAGGGGGAAATAGGATTGGTCAATCAGTTTGGCTGAAACAAGCATTGGAACCATAATGGAAAGCACAGCAACAATATGAATTCTCGTTTTGGAAAATGTATGTTAATATGTTAGCAATATGAATTTTCACTTATGTTTGTTCCAATAAACCGAAATACAAACTATACCGGACCCACCCCTGCACCGCATTATTTCTTACAAATTATGGCAACATCGCTTTCGCCTTACTTTGTTTTATTCATTGCTCTTTTTTAAGTATGGCAACATCGCTTTAGCCATGTATTTGTGTGTAATGGGTGTCTTAGTAATTTTAGTGTAAAATTAAATGTTAATAATAATAAAACTATTGCGAAATTCAGCATTTCCAAACTTTTAATGAAGAGATAATCATCAAATACACATACTTAGCCGAAAACCCCATAATTTCTGGACAGTATTAGCAAAAGCCGCTCTCGTGCATTATTACCCTTAAAAGCATGTTTTTAAAAGTCATAATGAAATTGTGGTATTTAGTATTTTCTTTATTATTTAATTCATGTTTTTTTTCATAATTTCTCGTAGATGGATGGCTGCGTAAAGAAATGGGCTGAGCTTTGATATGCAGCCCCACTTGATATTGTAAGCAAACAACCAGGAATTTCGACATGAAACTTCGTAGGAATGATGAGAGAAATATATTTTTCCAATATTTTAACTTTTGAAATTTGAATATATTATAGTTTATAAGTTATTTGTGGTTATAAATTGTTATCTTTATTCCATTATTCCTTTATGAATCGGTCACTATTCTTTCATTTTTGTTTAACAAAAACAAATATTACTTTGATTTTATTAAATAGTTTCACTCATTTTGTATATATTAACGCGCAATGTGACTTAAATAAAGATTAACAAATTATATTTTAATCAAAACAAATGTTCACTAAAACATGGCTAATATGGATGGTGTTGCCTTACAGGGTAAAATATTCTATAAATTCAACAATATTCAGCAATGAACATGGAAGGCGGTGCCGTACCATGTAAAATATTATACAAATCAAACAATATTCATCAACAAAATATGAAAACAAAACAAAATGAAAATTTACTGTGCTAGGCGAAGACGGTGTTGCTCCGGCCCAGGGTTACAATCCAAAGCGCGGCCAAAGGCCGCCAATTTACAAAGGAGTTTCACTTGGTGTTGGTCCGGCCCAGGGTTCCAATCCAAAGCGCGGCCGAAGGCCGCCAATTTACAAAGGAGTTTCACTTAAGAATACTGTGCAAGGCGAAGCCGGTGTTGCTCCGGCCCAGGGTTACAATCCAAAGCGTGAATTTATAAAGGAGTTTTACTTAACTTAAAATTTTTAAGTGAATAACATTTTATTTTTTAAACAATTTTCTTATTATATTTCCTTCATATTTATCCTTAATTTATAAACCTTTTACTGAGTGGCTACGCCTGCCTAGCCAAAATACAAAGAAACAGGCTCTGTACTTAAGTATTATTTTACTTAGTAGTACGGCAACTCCAATGTAGACGTAATTTTGCATTTATTACTCAAAATTTAAAATAGAATTATTAAAAAATTATAAGTCAGCTAAAGAAAAGAAAATTAGTTTTAGAATCTAGGATTTTTCCTCTTTCCATCCATATAAAATTTATTTGCGAAAGCCAGTGGCTCTAAACAAAAATTTTACCAAGAAATGATTTAGTGATTATCTTCGATTACTTGGTTATTAGTATAACGTCGGCCACGAAACGCAAAGCTTTTAAGTATTTAGTATGTATCTAAGCGAAAATATATGTAGTACAAATTTATGGTTTGATAGACATGTATGAACGAATGCACATGTATCTTCAGTTAACATGTCTTCATGTATTAGACAAAGCGAAATTAGGAGCACCATAAGTTAGCTTCTTGTGACGGAACTGTTGGCAAATGGATTAAGTACTAATCATATTGCCACTAATAACAGGATTAGTATTTTTCCCTGAAAGAGCCAATTTTAACACAAATTCTTAACCATCAGACACTCTTTAGAAATGACCTTGCCTCTAATTTTCTTTTCTGCCGCATCCTACTTTTGGTATACATCAAAAGTATTTTAAATCATATTTTTATTATATCTTAGTAGATATTATTCAAACTTACATTAGAATTTTTTTACGAATTTTCACAAAATTATTGCGTCACACTGTAAGTAGTACAATATAAATTTCTTGCTTTTGATTTCACAAAGATTTATTTGAATTCTGTTGATGTTCAACCCATTGAAGGCGGACCGAGCACTGACTCCTCTTTCACTTACTCACGCACGTAGTTAAAAACTGCTGTCGCATTCATTGAATGAGTATACACAAACTTTTTAGACTTGATTACTTTTATATTCTACATCATCTAGTTTTAATGTATACTTTTTGATTCACCAACTTTCTTTTGGTTTTAATAAAAAAAAACATCTTCCTACAGAAACAGTCTTCCAGGAATTATATGCCACATATTTCTATGAAGTTTTCGAAAATCGTTTTTGATATGATACCAAATCTGGTATTCAGTGCATGAAATGTACCTTTATCGTTTGAGTTAACTAAATTTTTACTCCTCCTTAAGCAGCTCATATGAACACCTTTTTGCATATTACAAAGGCTTAATTTAGTTTCAATAAGTAAGAAATTGATAAATAAAATCTTAAAATATGATAAACTCATAAGAAAACACAACACAATATTATATACGTAAATACACGGTAGTAGTAAGTATATCTACAATTCGAACTGTTCAAGTTGGTTTCACGAACATCTCTGGAAACGATTTACATATATTTCGACTCTATGCACAATATACTGCATACACACAAATTATCACTAACACACAAATATTTCAAGTTATATTACGCTCACCAAATGACACGGCTAAACATGTCCTACCATCTGGTTAATAACGTAAACGCAAGTACTGCCCATATTATTCCAAGTAAATGCTTTATTGAAACCAAAATTCGATAAGCGTCGGAATAATGTTATCATTATTCGATCTAAATCGCCATATATTTATTGTTGCGAATGCGAGGCGAATGTCAGATGACAGCGAGAAGCCGATAACTAGTACATTCTAAACGAGAACCTTCGATAAAGAACAAATTGATGCTTCTACGCTTGCGTCTGCAAGCAGCCGACTGCTATATAAGGGCGACACTCAGCTGCCAAGTCAAGTTAGTTACAAAGTGAACTCGTTGGCGTAAACATCAGTAAAGTCGTAAAGTAAACACGCTGGAAAATACATTTAAGTAGAGTAAATTGTGGAAGTGATGATAGTGATTGTAATTAGTAAAGTGCATTGTAATTGAATTGCGAATTACTGAGTAAATAAAGGGCATTAGATATAGATCTTTATAACGAAAGAAACTGCAAATTAAGTTGGCGAGTTATTTTTAACAATCCAGAGATCGTAGCCGAAGGATTCAGAAAATCATCGAGGTTGATTTAGCAAAATCGTAGCAATTGGTGTCAGAAGTGGGATTGTTAAAAGAATCCCAAAGGATAATATTTGCAAACTGATAAAGATAAAGGATTAGACGATACCCCTTCTCAAGAGGGAGTTGGCAAAGCGAGGATTATCGACAACTGGAAATAAAGCAGAGCTGCATTCGAGACTGCGAGAAGCAATGCAAGTTAAAGGCGTCGACTTAAACCAGTACGAGTTCCATCGCGAGGATGAAGATGTATTCTTGAAGGACATTGACAAGGAAGAGGCTGATAGTTCTGTGAAGGAGTCGGAATCACCATCAAGTAAGATTCAAGAAAAGGCTCCTGGTTCATCTAAGGG